ATACTTTGAATAAATTTGCAGGAAATTAATAATTAGATCGATCTGTGGGTTGTTAGGTAGTGTTAACCATCACCCAATATTATATTAATCATAACTATAATATAATATAATCTTATAACTATTAACTCATAATGTAAAAATTTTTATAAAAAATATTAAGGCCCGGCCCGGGTTTAACAATCTTAGGCCCGGCCCGGATATATTTAAAAAAAATTTTTTAGGCCCAGCCCGGATATGTTTAAAAAAATTTTTTTAGGCCCAGCCCGGCCCGGGTTTATTTAAAAAATTTAAAATACGGCCCGGGTTTAGGGCAGGGCCTGCAGGTCTCTGATATATATACAAGAATTGATAATAAAAGACAAATCATTTATTGACCATATATTTTATGAAGTTTCTTAAGGATATAAAAACCATTACTTCCTTGCCAAAAAAAATTTGTACTCACTTATCCTGTCAATCGTTCTTGCGCCATTACCTTTCCATTGATCTCTTGTATGCAACACACATTTATATGCCTTTTCTGTAATACATTGACCACTTCTCCCGCTCTTCTCGCCATGCTCCTAACATTCCGTGTTGCAACCCTTACTCTATCCCCCGTAAACTGGTTTCTCCACTTATTATCAAGTCGTTTATGGCCGTCATATGTTTCATTCTCACGAATCGTGGCTCCACCAGGTTTCCCATCCTTATTTTTGTCGTAGGTATATGAGGAGGCCCACTGGGTACTTTGGGCTGTACCCCGCCCATGCTTTGTTGTAATCATTAGGAAATTTGGTAGTAAGGTTTTTACAATCGGATGCCCTTCTTGACATCAACCCCTTTAAGTGGTTTTTACATTCCGTCGAGGAGACGGTGATCCTATTCTAGACAACAGGGAACCTTTTAGACCTCCATTAGCCGCCAAAAGACTTTGCCACTCCCCCGTCACAATGTGAAGATTGAATTTTGGGAGATATAAGAAACTAATGCAATTTTACCATTGGGCCTTGTTCAAAATGAATTGTATTTTGAATATTTCTTTAATCTTAGTGCCAAATTTGGACATTTTTCCGTTGACTAGTTTAGTGGGTAAGGGGTCATTCCATGTAAAATGAGCAAAAAAATCAAGATTTTCGGCCGACCCCTTTCAATTTCGATAAAAAGTTGTAGACTGGTTATATATGTTCCCATTAGATTATAAAGAAAATTTTAGCGCATTAGCAACTATATTAGCGGAGATAATCGGGGTTAAAGGTCCAAAAAACGCCTTTTTTTTCATTTTACTGATGTTAAATAATTAGTTTTTAATTTAAAACTAAATATGATCAAATATTGAATCTAATATCAATAGCTAAGTTAATAATTGATAATTATGGCGAAAACATTAAAATTAATTTTTTTTAAAATATGTGTCATCTTATGATCAGTTCAAAATTTGAAATTAATATTTCGAAATATATATGATCTTCGATTTTTAATTTTTTAAGAAATATTATCCGTTTACTATTTTTTTAAATAATTTCTTTAACAATTAGTTTGGCTGGATATTTATTTAAAAAAATATTGCGATTTATATACTTTAAAAAAATAGATAGCGCTATATATAATAGTTTTAATATGTTAAAATTCATTTTTTTTATTGATTAAAAATATTTTAATGTATAATATATCATAAAATTTGATTATATAACTTTGTAAACCTTATTCCCCTGAGATATTCGCAGGATAAAAAATTTTAATAATTTTTTTAATATTTCAATATAAATTAAAAATAATTATAAAATCGGACTAGCGCACGAACAAAAAAGCAGGATTAAAGGATTGCATGAAAATTATTAAGCGAAAAATCGAAAATCACAATAATTACCAGGCCTACCCCCCCCCCCCCTCCCCCCCCCCCCCCCCCACCGCCCACCCAACAAAGTCATACCCATCAAGACCAAGAATGTTATGAAATTCTCATTATCTTACATTATTAAAATAACCAGAGATAAAGAAAATTTCAAAGATTTTGAAAAATTTTTTAAGCAATAAAAATAACAAAATTATAGTTCTGATGAAATAAGGCGTCTCATGACTGGAATAAAAGACTGTGTATCTGTTAAAGGCGAGAAAGAATCAGTCCAAATACTTATATTAAATAATCTTAAAGAAATATTCAAGATGTTTAAGGAAGAATACCCAAATATATCAATTGGATTCTGTAAATTTGCCGAACTTAGACCAAAAAACTGTATTTTAGTTGGAGCTAGTGGCACACACACTGTTTGTGTGCGCCATTCATCAGAATGTAAAATTAATGACAAATGTAATAGCTGAAATTACAGCAGGAGAAGATTACTGTACAAATTCTTATAACTATCTTTTGGCGCAAATTATTTGTAATCCATCTCAGCCAAAATGTTATTTAACAAATTGTGATCAATGCCCTGGTATAGAATCTCTTAAGGGCCAATTATACCAGTTGTTTCAGAGAAATCGTATAGAATATGTCACGTTTAAACAATGGATCACGGTGGATAGAGCAAATCTTGAAACTATTATAAAGTCCATTGATGATTTCATCGAATATCTATTAGAAAAAGTTCAAATTTTACTGCGTCACTCATTTATAGCTAAACACAAAGTTTATTTTTGAAGAATTCCAAAGAAAATTTAAGGGGAATTTTTAACAATTCTAGATTATTCAGAGAATTATTCCTTCAATTTACTAGATGAAGTTCAGGGATTTCATTGGAACAACGTGCAGGCCACTATACATCCATTTGTTGCCTATTATAAATCTGGAGAAGAATTAAAAAATATATATTTTGTTATTTTGTCTGAATCATTAAGCCATAATACTAGTGCAGTCCACCTTTATCAAAAAAAAATTTATTAAATTCTTAACAGCCAAATTTAATTCTAAACCAGAAAATATAATATATTTTTCAGATGAAGCCGCGTCTCAATACAAGAATTGCAAAAATTTTCTGAACATATGCCTCCATAAATACGATTTTAATATTCCTGCCGAATGGCATATCTTTGCCACTGCTAACGCCAAAAATGCATGTGACGGTATCGGAGGAACTGTCAAAAGATTAGTTGCAGAGCTAGTCTTCAAAGGCCAAATAAAAATCAAATCCTAACCCCATTAGAATTATATAATTATGCTTAAGAAAATATTAATGGAATTCAATTTGAATATGTATCCAATCAAGAATATATCGAAGAGGAATTAACCCTTCGTAAAAGATTTGATTCTGCACTGCCCATTCATGGTACCCAAAAAATTTACGGGGTATTGATCAAAATAGACTAAAAACTAAAATATATTCAAATTCCAAAAAATATAATATAAAATAAGTTTCGTTTTTAAATGAGAAAATTATATTTTAAAATATTAATAGATATATTACTGTGTATATGAAGATAAATGTGGTTAGGATATATAATCGATAAAAATGATACAAATGAAAAAGTAAAATCCGATTTTTACACCCTTGTGGACCTTCAGCCTCATTTAAATTTCATCTGAAAGATGATATTTTAGTGTTGCCTAAATCTCATATTCTCTCGCTGGTCAGTCCTTCTACTCACACTAGTCGAACATATATATTATCTCCTGAAGAAATCTCAAGCTAGCCAGGCTTTGTATTCCTTTAGATGAAGTAAGATTTAATTAATTTATAAACTATCTTAATTAGGTAAAATTTGTGAAGATTTTAAAAATTTATGATCTGAATTACAAATAAATATATATAATGCACATTGTAATCGATTTAGTATGATATATATACATTAAAATATTTTTATTCAATAAAAAAAATGAATTTTAACATATTAAAACTATAATATATAGCGCCATCTATTTTTTTAAAGTATAAAAATCGCAATATATTTTTAAATAAATATTCAGCCATGCTAATTGTTGAAGAAATTATTAAAAAAATTGTAAACGGATAATATTTCTTAAAAAAATTAAAAATCGGAGATCATATACATTTCTAAATATTAATTTCAAGTTTTCAACTGACCATAAGATAACCCATATTTTATCAAAAATTAATTTTGATGTTTTCACCATAATCATCAATTATTAACTTAGCTATTGATATTAGATTCAATATTTGATCATATTTAGTTTTAAATTAAAAACTAATTATTTAACATCAGTAAAAAGCAAAGAAAGATGTTTTTTGGACCTTTAACCCCTCCGCTAATATAGTTGCTAATGCGCTAAAATTTTGTTTATAATCTAATGGGAACATATATAACTAGCCTACGATTTTTTATCGAAAGGGGTCGGTCGAAAAGTGATTGATTTGTCATGGAATGACCCTAAGGTTAATTTCTTTAAAAATATAATTTACATTTTAGAAGTTTTTGGCGGCCCTTAAAATCGTCTTTTGGCCATCCTGAGCGGCTGCCCCTCTAGCTCCTGTTCACTGCAAGGGCCTGCCAATTGAATAACTTAATATAAGGTTAAAAAAAATATTTCATTTAAGAAAAAATTGAAGATTAAACCCAATTTTTTGCAACTCTTTTACAATTAAAATTTGTCCAATCTTATATTTTGATAGTTGAAACTTTCAAAATGCTTATATATTTAAATTTAAGGTCAAGATAACTGATTTATTTTGACGTTTTTATTAAATCTTTTCAATTTCTTTAAAAACTATGATTCTCATCTGATCGGAATCGATGATCAGCGTTTTAGGAATTATCCTATTATTGTCAATTCGATTCATTTTTTATAATCAATTCAAATCTTATCTAGCAATTTAAAATATAATTTTTTTTAAATATGGAAATTTTTCACCAAACCTTTAAATTTTTAAACTTTATATAAGAACTTTACATTAATGAACCAAAGGAATTTGTATTCCGCTATCAGGCAAAATAGTACTTTTGAATACTGGTGGCACAATGATAATAAAGTAATATTTAAAAACACTATTACTCTGTTGAAATTCAAGTTGACTCTAGAACCGAATTTAAATATTTGATTATTACATTGTTACATTATAAATAAGATATTTTGGGGTTTGGGGACGTGCTTCGAAGTTTTGCTTGCTCTGATCATTATGCCCACTTTAGGTTGGCCATGGCTTTTAGCCTTCTCAAGCTTGCCCCTTCTTTTGTTCTCCTGTTTTTCATTGGTATGCCCACATTTTTACAATTCCTATATTTTATTAGAATTATTGATTATAGAATTATTTTATTTTTGAACTAATCATAAAATATGATTATTTATTAAATAAATATTTTATATCCTAAGTGGTTGCCAGAGAGCGCCAGGTATCACGTGGCTTGTAAAGATTTTAAATCGGCTTACAAAGTAATCGAACGAATAGCCAAGGAGAATAAAAGACCTTTGCCTATAGGAACTCTGGTTGGAGATGATGATGTGGTAGATCAAAACCCAACCGAAAATCCCAGCACTTTCAGTGATACCACGGTTTTATTTTCGTTAGAAATCTACCCAATTCTTTTCAACTCTCATTAATAAATTTTACATATAAAATATTCTGAAGCATCACTGTTGTTTAGGATTTTGACGTTTTATTTATCACCTATTTTAACATCCTAATTATAATTTTATGTACTTTTAAAATGGATAAGGTTAATAATTTTAATATTATTACAATAAACAATAAATATAGAAAATCATTTCTATAGAAATTTTGAACTTTTATATTTAATGCAAGATAAAAAATCAATTTTAATAAATTCTGACAAATTTTAGGCCTATCCCTTCTAGATTCAAATAATGTATTTAGGATATTATAATGCACCAATTTTAAAAGTTTTTTACGAAAGAGATCACATGCATTGCTTGGAAAAAGCTATTGCAGAGATAATGTTTCAAATACAGTCTAACTTGTCTAATTTGGGCTCTTTAAAATTCTAACAACTGCCTAATTTAACTAAAATTTTGAGTCCCAATCAAATTCCTATTATCTACTATTAGGAAATGCCTTGATAAATTCGGCTTTGCCCAATTGCATAAGACCTCTATAAAGTGGGAATTTTATATTTTGTTGCATTTATTCATTTATGAAATTTTATCATCTTTTTAAACTTATTCATGTCAAATAATAAAATTAATAAAGAAAACAAATATAATGAGTTATCGTTAATTAAAAAAATTGAGGTTATTATTTCGAAATCACCATACTCAAAGAGAATATGCTAAAAGTTTTAATATTTGTAAAGTTCACAATATTCATAATTCAAAGAAGACTTTATCAATTACCATGCAAATAAAACATATTGTATCAAATAGAGAGTATCTTATTTTATTTCACGCATTCTTTATTCTTATACTATTTTATAATAATTTTATATACAATGTTGTGATGATTTAATGAAACATATTGACGATTAAATTAAAACCCATCTATATAAAATTATAATCTTTGCAAGAATAATTAAAATAACAAAAGGAATAATAAAAGAAATTTCAATAATGCTTTGTCTATATTTTAATTATTTTTGCAAAGATTATAATTTTATATGGATGATTTTTAATTTAATCGTCAATATGTTTCATTAAATCATCACAACACTGTATTAGTACATGATGATTTAAAACCATTTAAAAATGGTTGAACATAATTTCACTCTTTACTAAATTATGAATATAACAGATGGTAAAATGCTTTTTAAAAAAAGTAAATAGCCTTGATAAATTGGGCAAACATCGGCCCCAACTGTGTCCAAATTAAATAGGTTTTACTGTAATCTATTTTTATTTTAAATATCATTTTTTCTTATATCTAAATCTATTGTTAATGATAATTTATTATGTTTTGCAAAATATCTTTAAATTGCTTTTGTACACCTATTTTTTTCATTTTATCTTGAATCTTGATATTTATTTTAGAAATTTTCTTATTTTGATAAAACAATTTTTATTTATACTGTCTACCAAACGTAAATAAGTTTTGTCCTTACAAAAGTTTGGCAAACTTCATGTTAAAGCTGCATATTAATATTAGATTCAGATTCATATCAAATAGTTTTATCTCTATTTAACTGGTGTTTTTTTATTGATTGGAAAAACTGATTGATAAATTAGTAAGTGCTAAACAGGCATTACAGTTTTATACAATTTTTATTCTGGTATGATGCCAATCGTGGTCTTTGAATTATCTGCCAAACTGATTGAAACACTAAACACGTTCTAACAATCAGTTCACTAAAAATACTATTTTTTTATTAATCTAGTTTGTCATTTTATGAGGATCTGGACTAGTAAACAGGGTAGACCGGGGCTATACTGAAGGTTTTTTTCTCTTTTGCGATAACATTTTAATTTTATTTTGATGGATATAATTATTATATTATCATTTGATAACCTCATCATTAGACTACAAAATAAAAAAAACCAGTGCCTCCTATCTTTTAAAATATAGAATGGATGCTATTATGGTATAGTTAAAAAGGGCTATTAAAATATTTTTCTAAAAAATTACTTTTTAATGAATATTCATTTATATTTAATAATCATTCCTACTTCTTACTGCATATACAGGGTAAGTTAATATAATAAAAGCAAAAAATTAAAAAAAATGTAACCATATATTTTTTTATTTTTGCATAATACTCAAAAATAAATGACGATCATATATATATATTTTTTTTCTCTTTAGCTTTAACCTTTTCTGGTGGTAAGCTCCTTCAACATCTTTCTCCACTTTATGTTATTCATACAATCTCTTTTTTCTAATTTATACTTCTTTATATTGGCTCTAACTTTATGGCCCCATTGAAGTTTTGGCCTTCCTTTTTTACGTTTGCCCATCACTTCCAAACTCTTAACCTTATTTCCTATGTAGTTCATTGGCCTTCTCATTGTATGCCCATACCACCTAAGTCTATTTACCATTATCTTAGTCTTAATGGGCACTACCTTTAAACTTCCTAGTATTCTTCTACTTCGCACCTTATCCTTTCTTGTTACCCCAGCAATCATCCTCAGCATTCTCATCTCCATAATTTGTAGACTTCTCTCGTCTGATTCTTTGGTTGGCCATGTTTCCGAATTATATAGAATAGTTGGTTGTACTATGGAACTGTAAATTTTCCCCTTTAATTTGTGTGGGATTCTTTTGTCAAATAGCACTCCAGATAAAGATCTCCACTTTGACCACCCTTGATTAATTTTACTCTTGATCTCTTTTTCTATTGTGCCATTTGTTTGTATAGTGGAGCCCAAATATTTGCAGCTTTCAATTGCCGATATCTGATATCAATACTCTCTGTTTCTCTCCTCTATCACCATATACTCCGTCTTTTCTCTATTTACTTTTAGTCCGTGCTTTTCTAGGATATTTATCTAACTCACTAATCTTTCTTTCATTTCATCCTTGGATTCGGCAAGTATCACAATATCATCTGCAAATATTATATTCCACGGGACTGTTTGAGGTATGGACTGTGCTAATACATCTATTACTGTAATGAAGAGAAGTGGGCTGAGAGCCGACCCTTGATGAACTCCTTCTGCTATTGTGAAGCCTGCTGAAGTACCTGTTGTGCTTCGGACCATTGTTGTATGGCCCATATACATATCCTGTATTATTCTTATATATTTTTCGGGAACCTTTTTGTGGCGTAGCGCCCACCATTTCTAGATCGAGAAAGACTATGTGTAGCTTTTTGTTCTTTTCCCTGTATTTTTCACTCATTTGCCTAATTGCGTGGATTGCATCAGTTGTTGATCTTCTAAGCCAAACTGAGTCTCTCCTATTTCGATTATGTCTCTTAATCTTTTTTCTATTATTTTTTCGTACAGTTTTAGACAGTGTGACATTAGTTTTATGCCCCTGTAATTTTGACAATTGTGTGGATCTCCAAATATTTTATTGTACAGATTTGTGAGGAGATGTATTCCATTTTTAAGCTTTCTATTGGAATATCATCTGGACCACTAGCTTTGTTATTTTACATATGCTTGAGGCATGCGATTATTTCTTGTTCTATTATAGGTTGTACAAGATTTTGACATGGGGAGTGTTCGTCTAAATGTAGTATGTGGAATTAAAATTGAGAAGCTCCTGAAAATATTCTTTCCATCTATTCATTATTTCTTTTTCCTTTATTATCAATCTCCCATCTTTATTTTTGATTACTTTCGGAGCTCCGTTTATATCCCTAGAATTCTTTTCTCGCTGTTTGGCTAATCTGTATATTTTATTTTGCCCTTCTTTGGTATGTAGTTCTTCTTACATGTCATCGTATGCCATAGATTTGGCCCTAGCCACCGACTTTGTAGCTATTCTCTTGGATTTTTTGTATTTTGTTTTGTCATAGTTTTTGGATTTGTACCATATTTTATAAAGGGCTTTTTCCTCCTATTATGGTTTGTACCTCTTCATTCCACCACCATAGTTCTTTGTATGATTTGTTGCCTCCCCTTGTCAAGCCTAATATCGATTTGGCAGTGTCTATTAATCTGGATGAAAGGTCTGTCCACATTTTTTCACTGACTTGTGAGGAATCTATTGTTTCAATGTTAGCATTGATTGCAAAGGCATCTGTGATTGTTTTTAATTTGCCCCATTTGATGCATGGTTCCAGTTTTATCTTGTTTTGATGTGTAAATCCATGACTAGTAGCTTGTGTTGTGCGGCGATATCTTCTCCTGGGATGACTTTACAATCTATTACATCTTTTAATCTTCTGCGAGATATTAGCATGTAATCTATCTGTGTTTTCCTTGTACCACTTTCATATTTTATTAGATGACTGTCTTTTTTCCTATAGTAGGTGTTGGTTAAGGCAAGATCGAAAGCTTATGCATATTTCAGTACGTGCTCCCCTTCATCAATCCTTTCTCCATATCCAAAACCACCATGATGCCTCTTGCTTTCCCCACATGCGCATTTAAGTCACCACCAATTATGACTAGGTCATCCTTAAGGATTTCCATTACAGCTTCATCAAGGATAGCCCTAAAGTCATCTTTTTCTTCTTCCTTGCAACCCGTTTGGGGAGCATATACTGAAAGGATGTGTAGTATTGATTGACCAATGCATAGTTTTATCTTCATTAGTCTACCAGAGATCCTGTTGACTTCTACCACTGAGGAGGTTAGATCTTGACTGAGGATGATGGCGACACCGTTCCTATTGCTAACAATTCCATTATAGTACAATTTATACCCATCTCCAATCATTAAAGTCTTCTGACCTTTCCATTTCGTCTCTTGTATGCACGCTATATCAACTTTTCTCTTGTTCAACATTGATGCCAATTCTCTCGTCTTACCTTTAAGCGTCCCCAATATTCAAACTTGCTAATCTTGTCTTCTTTGCTTTGACCTTTACTTTACTTTTCACAGGATGGAGGTCTACACCCTGCGCGTCGCTTGGAAGGAACGCCCTAGCTTTCATATTCATATTTCCGTTTGTTTCCTTCATTTTGTTTATTGGACAGGTATCCTTAGCACCC